GCGCCTGCCGCTCGAAGGCGAAGTCGAACGCCGGCACGCACTCGGGCTCGTCCTCGGGGTCGTGGTACTTGGCCAGGAAGGGGTGGCGCAGCGCCTCGGCCACGCCCACGCGCTCCCGCGGGTCGAAGCGCAGCATGCGGCCCAGCAGCGCCAGCGCCGCCGGCTCGGCGTCGCCGAAGAGGCTGTGCCAGGGCACGGGCGGGCGCGGCGGCAGGCTCTGCACGTAGGCGCGCACGCGCTCGGCGCCGATGGCCGCCATGACGCCCGGCGGGGGCGTGCCCAGCACCGCCATGATGAGTTGGAGCTGATGGACGTAGTTGCGGCCCGGGAAGAGCTGGCGGCGCCCCAGCATCTCGGCGAAGATGCAGCCGACCGACCACATGTCGATGGCGCGCGTGTAGCGGTGCAGCGACAGCAGCAGCTCCGGCGCGCGGTACCAGCGCGTGGCCACGTACTCGGTGAGGAACGGCTTGGCGTGCCGCGGGTCCGAGCCCAGCCCCCGCGCCATGCCGAAGTCGCCGATCTTGAGCTCGCAGTTCTCGTTGACCAGCAGGTTGCTGGGCTTGAGGTCGCGGTGCAGCACGTTGGCCGAGTGGATGTACTTGAGGCCGCGCAGCAGCTGGTACAGGAAGTAGCGCACGTGCTCCAGCGTGAGCGGCTGGGACGAGTGGATGATCTGGTGGAGGTCGCTCTCCATCAGGTCCAGCACCACGTAGCTGCGGGGGAGGGGCGGGGAGAGGCAGCCAAAGCCAACTCAACTCAACCGAACTCAACCGAACTCAACCGAACTCAAGTCAAGTCAACTGAACCCAACTGAACCCAACGCAACTCAACTCAACCCAACCCAACTCAACCCCACCCAACCCAACTCAACCAAACTCAAGTCAAGGCAATAAACCCAAGTCAACCCAATGGAAGTCAATGGAAGTCAACTGAAGCCAACTCAACCCAACTCAACTCAATTCAAGTCAATGAACTCAACCAAACCCAGCTCAACTCAACCCAACTCAACGCAACCCAACTCGACTCAAGTCAATGAACTCAACCAAACCCAGCTCAACTCAACCCAACTCAACGCAACCCAACTCGACTCAAGCAAACCCAATAAATTGAAGTCAACCCAACTCAACCCAACTCAACTCAGCCAAACTCAAGGCAAGGCAACAAACCCAAGTCAACGCAATGAAAGTCAATGGAAGTCAACTGAACCCAAGTGAACCCAACCCAAGTGAACCCAACCCAAGTGAACCCAACCCAACTCAACGCAACTCAACTCAACCCAACCCAACTCAACGCAACTCAATCAAACCCAACCCAACTTTGTCCAAGTCTACTCAAGCAACTCAACTGAACTCAACTCAACCCAACCCAACCCAACCCAACCCAACCCCCTCCCAGGCCCCGCCCCCCTTGGGCCCCGCCCCCGCTCACACGTTGCGGAACTCTCCGTCGGGGCCGCTGGGCCGCAGGATGTCCTTGATGCCGATGATGTTGTCGTGCTTGAAGTGCTTGAGGATCTTCAGCTCCCGCAGCGTCCGCTTGGCGTTGGTGACCACGTCGAAGGCGTTGGGGATCTTCTTGATGGCCACCTGCTGGCCTGGGGGCACACAGGTGTGACCAGGTGTGACCAGGTGTGTCCCAGGTGTGCCCAGGTATCTCCAGGGGTGATCCAGGTGTGTCCCAGGTGTGACCAGGTGTGTCCCAGCCACCCCAGGTATCTCCAGGTATCTCCAGGTTTGTCCAGATGTGTCTCAGGTGTGACCTAAGTGTGTCTTACCTGCCTCAGGTGCCTCCGGGTGAGTCCAGGGTGGATCCAGGTGTGTCCCAGGTGTGTCCCAACCCCACCAGGTGTGTCCCAGGTGTGTCCCAGGTGTGTCCCAACCCCACCAGGTGTGTCCCAGGTGTGTCCCAGGTGTGTCCCAGGTGTGTCCCAACCCCACCAGGTGTGTCCCAGGTGTGTCCCAACCCCACCAGGTGTGTCCCAGGTGTGTCCCAGGTGTGTCCCAGGTGTGTCCCAACCCCACCAGGTGTGTCCCAGGTGTGTCCCAGGTGTGTCCCAGGTGTGTCCCAACCCCACCAGGTGTGTCCCAGGTGTGTCCCAACCCCACCAGGTGTGTCCCAGGTGTGTCCCAGGTGTGTCCCAGGTGTGTCCCAGGTGTGTCCCAACCCCACCAGGTGTGTCCCAGGTGTGTCCCAGGTGTGCCCCAACCCCACCAGGTGTGTCCCAGGTGTGTCCCAGGTGTGTCCCAACCCCACCAGGTGTGTCCCAGGTGTGTCCCAACCCCACCAGGTGTGTCCCAGGTGTGTCCCAGGTGTGCCCCAACCCCACCAGGTGTGTCCCAGGTGTCTCACCTGTCTCAGGTGTATCTCAGGTGTATCCCAGGTGTATGCCAGGTGTATCTCACCTGTCTCAGGTGTATCCCAGGTGTATCTCACTAGTCCCAGGTGTATCCCAGGTGTATCCCAGGTGTGTCCCAAGTATCTCAGATGTACCTCACCTATCCCTCACCTGTCCCAGGTATCTCAGGTGTGTCCCAGGTGTGTCCCAGGTGTGTCCCAACCCCACCAGGTGTGTCCCAGGTGTGTCCCAGGTGTGTCCCAGGTGTGTCCCAACCCCACCAGATGTATCTCAGGTGTCTCACCTGTCTCAGGTGTATCTCAGGTGTATCCCAGGTGTATCTCAGGTGTATCTCACTTGTCCCAGGTGTATCCCAGGTGTGTCCCAAGTATCTCAGATGTACCTCACCTATCCCTCACCTGTCCCAGGTATCTCAGGTGTGTCCCAGGTGTGTCCCAGGTGTGTCTCACCTGTGTCCCGCCTCCGTGCCGAGCTGACCACGCCGTACGCGCCCGTCCCGATGGTCTCGATGACCTCGTAGTCGTCGCCCACCTCGAAGGTGACGTCGAGCGCCCGCGAGCGGAGCAGCGCCAGCGGCCCCGGGGGGTCCCGGGGGGGCTCCTCGGCCTCGCCCATCGCACCTGGGCAGGTGAGGGCGCACCTGGGGGGCAAAACATCCCATTAAAGGGGCCAAAAATGACCTGAAATGGACTCAAAAATCACCTTAAATTGACCCAAAATCCCATTAAAGGGAACCCAGGGGGGCTCCTCGGCCTCACCCATCGCACCTGGGCAGGTGGGGGCGCACCTGGGGAGGGGGAAATCGCCTGAAATGGACCCAAAGCCACCTTAAATTGATCCAAAATCTCATTAAATTGACCCAAAAATCATCCTGGAAAAGACTCAGGGGGGTCCTGGGGGGGGGGATCCTCGGCCTCGCCCGTCGCACCTGGGCAGGTGAGGGCGCACCTGGGGAGGGGAAAAATCGCCTGAAATGGACCCCAAATCCACTCAAATTAACCTAAAATCCCCTGAAATGGACCCAAAATCCCATCAAAGGGACCCAGGGGGCTCCTCGGCCTCGCCCATCACACCTGCCCAGGTGAGGGCGCACCTGGGGAGGGGGAAAATCGCCTGAAATGGACCCAAAATCACTAAAAAAAAATCACTTTATATGGACCCCAAATCTCCTCAAACGGACCCAAAAAATCACCCGGGAGGCACCAAAAATGAATGGGCATTAAACGGACCCAAAAATCACCAGGGAGGAACCCAAAATCACCCGTGGGAGCCCGAAATTCACCGAGAAGGGACCCAAAATCCCCTTGAACCGTCCCAAAATGTCCTTAGAGGGACCCGAGATCACCTGAAATGGACCCAAAATTGCGCTAAAGGGTCCCAAAACCCCCTTGGAGGAACCAAAATCCTCTCAGGGGGTCCCAAAATCTCCTTAAATTGGCCAAAAATCACCTTAGAGGGACCAAATTCCCCTAAATTGACCCCAAAATCACCCGAGGGACCCCAAATCCCTTCGAATTGACCCCAAATCCGCTTAAACAGCGCCAAAATCGCCTGAAATTCAGCGAAATCGCCTTAAATTGATCCGAAATCCCCTTAAATGGCCCCAAAGTCACCCGAGAGGGGCCCGAGAACCCCAACATTCCCTGAATTGACTCAAGAGGCGCCCAAATTCCCCTGAATTGACCCAAAATCGCCTCAAATTGACCCAAACTCCTCCGAAATGGCCCCAAAACGGCCCCAAACCCCCCCGGGCCCCCCCCGCCCCCCCGTTGGTCGCTCCCGTTTTTCTCCCCCCCCCGGGGTCGCGATGGGCGGGGCCGTTGCCATGGCGACCGCCCCGCGCCGCGCTCACCGCTCCCGCCGAAACCCGGAAGTGGCTCCGCCCCAGGCCACGCCCCCCTCTCAGTGGTTTGTTGGAAGCACTTCCGGCTCCTCTCGGTGGTTTTGGAGGACTTCCTGCTCGTCTCCGGGATATTTCCGGTTGTTTTCCGGGTTTTCGCTTTGACGTCCGGTTTGTCTCTGTGGTTTTGGAGGACTTCCGGTTATGCTCTATGGCATTGGAGGACTTCCGGTCCGTCTCGATGGTGCTGGAGGACTCTGCGGCCTCTCTATGGTTTTGCCTGAGGAATCTGCGCATGCGCGGTGCGGCCGCTTCCGGTAGTATCGCCATGAGGGACCGGACGCGGGAACTGCATCAGGCGAGAGGCCAAAAAATGGGGAAAAAAGCTCAAAAATCGGGAAAAAGAGGCGAAAAATCGGGAAAAGAAGCCCGGAATCGGAACCGGGGAGCCCGAAAGTGGGGGAGAAGTGGCGGAAAATGGGGAGAAAGAGGAGAAAAATGGGGGAAAAGAGGAGAGAAATGGGAAAGTGGCCGGAAAATGGCGGAAAAAGGGGAAAAAAGGGCAAAAATGGGAAAAGGAGACAAAAATGAGGGGAAAAGTCCAAAAGTTGGGGAAATGAGCCTCAAAATGGGGAAAAAGAGCCCAAAAATGGGAAAATGAGATAAAGAATGGGGGAAAGAGCCAAGAATTGGGAAAAGCGCCCCAAACCGGGGCAAAATTCGGATTTTCCCCAAATTTGGGATTTTCCCCCAATTTCCGTTTCCCCCTCAGGCCTCGGACTCGGACTCGGAGGGGGAGGGGCCGGGGGGGGAGGGGCGGCTCCTCAGCCCCCAGGACCCCGCCCTGGCCCAGGTGGGTCCCGCCCCTTTGCATCTCATTTGCATTTCATTTGCATCTCATTTGCATCTTGGTTTTCCCCCTTCTGGCTCTAGCTGGGTTCTGTTGTGGTGATATCGCGATATGACCCCTTCCTATCATGATATCCCCGTTTATATTGCGATATAACCGGTCCGTGTCGCGATATGACCCCTTCCTATCATGATATCCCTGTTTATATCGTGATATAACTGGCTCCTATCGCGATATGACCCATCCCTATTGCAATATCTCCATTTCTGTCGTGATATAACTGTCCTATCGTGATATAAGCCTATGTCACTATCATGATACAACCCGTCCCTGTCGCGATATAAGCCGCCCCTATTGTGATAGAAGGGTCCCTATCGCGACATCCCCTCTCCGTGTCATGACATGACGTGTCCCTGTCACGATGTCCCGTCTCTATCACGATATAACCTGTTCATGTCGCGATATATCACGACAGGCACACCCTGTCTGTGCGCCCCTGGGGACACTGTCCCTGGAGAACCCCCTATGTCGCGATATAACCCATTAATATCATGATATAACCCATTCATATCGTGATATAACCCATTGATATCACGATATAATACATTCATGCTGCGATATAACCCATTGATATCGCGGTATAACCCGTTGATATCGCGATATAACCCATTCATATCGCGATATAACCCATTCATATCGTGACAGGTGCGCCGTGTGCGCTCCCTGCTGGGGGCGCTGTCTCTGTACAATGGCCCATATCACGATATCCCGTGTTTATATCGCGATATCCCGTGTTTATATCGCGATATCCTGCGTTTATATCGCAACAGGCGCGCCGCGTGCGCTCCCTGCTGTCGGCGCTATCCCTGTACAATGTCCGATATCGCGATATAAGGTGTTTATATCGCGATATCCCGTGTTTATATCGCGATATCCCGTGTTTATATCGCGATATGTCGCTCCAGACGCGCCGCGTGCGCTCCTTGCTGTCGGCGCTGTCGCTGTACAATGTCTGATATCGCGATATAAGGTGTTTATATCGCGATATAAGGTGTTTATATCGCGATATCCCGTGTTTATATCGCGACAGGCGCGCCGCGTGCGCTCCCTGCTGTCGGCGCTGTCGCTGTACAATGTCTGATATCGCGATATAAGGTGTTTATATCACGATATAAGGTGTTTATATCGCGATATCCCGTGTTTATATCGCGACAGGCGCGCCGCGTGCGCTCCCTGCTGTCGGCGCTGTCGCTGTACAATGTCTGATATCGCGATATAAGGTGTTTATATCACGATATAAGGTGTTTATATCGCGATATCCCGTGTTTATATCGCGACAGGCGCGCCGCGTGCGCTCCCTGCTGTCGGCGCTCTCTCTGCGCGCGGCCGAGCTGGAGCGGCTGCAGGAGAGAGCCCTGGGAACGCCCCTCCCCCCCCCAGGTGAGATCGGGGGGGTTTTGGGAATTTGGGAATTTGGGGAATTTTGGGGGAATTCGGGAATTTTTGGGGGAATTTTTGGGTGGAATTTGAGGCATTTTCCGGGCGAGTTTTGGGAGAATTTTGTGGAATTTTTGGGGGAAGTTTGGGAGAACTTTTGGGCGGTTTTGGGTGAGTTCGGGGCATTTTCGGAGCGATTTCAGGTGGATTTGGGGGGGCGGGAATTGGGAATTTGGGAGGGGATTTTAGGGAGAATTTTGGGGAAATTTTGGTGGAATTTCGGGGAGATTTGTGGGGAAATGGGGAATTCTGGGAGGACTTGGGGGAGAATTTTGGGGGGATTTTTGGGGCTTCCTGGGGGGATTTTGGGTGAATTTTGTGCGGTTTTTGCCCATTTTTGGAGTGAATTTTTGTGTAAATTTTGGGTGAATTTTGCCCAGTTTTTGGGTGATTGTTTTGTAAATCTTGGGCGAATTCTTTTGGTGTGACTTTGGGGTGAATTTTTGGGTGAAATTTCGCCGTTTTTGGGTCCCAGAGCTGCAGGAGGAGCTGGGCCGGTTTGGGGTGATTTTTACTCATTTTTTGGGTGAATTTTGGGTGAAATTTCGCCGTTTTTGGGTCCCAGAGCTGCAGGAGGAGCCGGGCTGGTTTGGGGTGGTTTTTACTCATTTTTTGGGTGAATTTTGGGTGAAATTTCGCCGTTTTTGGGTCCCAGAGCTGCAGGAGGAGCCGGGCCGGTTTGGGGTGATTTTTACTCATTTTTTGGGTGAATTTTGGGTGAAATTTCGCCGTTTTTGGGTCCCAGAGCTGCAGGAGGAGCTGCAGCGGCTCCGGGACGAGATCCAGGACCTGACCCGGGAGATCCAGGGGGGGCTCCGAGGTAACCCCAAAACGCCCCAAAATAACCCCAAAATTACCCCAAAATTACCCCAAAATTGCCCCAAAAATATTCCAAAAATAACCCCGGAAAAATACCAAAAAACATCTCAAAATTGCCCCCCAAAAAATCCCAACAAATGACCCCAAAAATACCCAAGAAATAACCCAAAAATGTCCCCCCAAAACAACCCCAAGAAATCTCACAATTACCCCAAAATATCCCCAAAATCCGGCCCCCAAAACTACCCTAAGACACCTCAAAATTGCCCCAAATTCGGCCCCCAGAATACCCCCCAAAATGCCCTAAAGCTGCCCTAAAATATCCCAAAAATATCCCAAAATTACCCAAAAATTCCCCTGAGAAACCCAAAATTCCCCCCCCAAAAATATCCCCAAATGTTCCCCAAAATACACCAAAAAAAAAAAATCCCTAAAATATCTCAAAATATTCTCCAAAAAGAACCCAAAAATAACCCTCCAAATACCCCAAAATACCCCAAAACCACCGCCAAAAGTACCTTAAAATTACCCCCAAAATTCCCCTAAAAATACCCAAAATTACCCCAAAATTCCTCCCAAAATACCCCCCAAAACGCACCAAAAAATCCCTAAATTACCCCAAACTGTCCTCGAAGAAGACCCCAAAATTACCACAAAATGCCCCCAAAATTACCCCAAAAATTACTAAAAAAACACCCCAAAATAACCCAAACGTACCTTAAAAATATCCCAAAAATATCCCCGAAATATCCCAAAAATAACCCCAAATCCCCCCCAAAATTGCCAAAAAAATTACTAAAAAAATAACCCAAAAATAACCCAAATGCACCTTAAAAAAATCCCAAAAATAACCCCAAAATAACCCCAAATCATCCCCAAAATTGCCAAAAAAATTACTAAAAAAATAACCCAAAAATAACCCAAATGCACCTTAAAAAATATCCCGAAAATAACCCCAAAATATCCCAAAAATAACCCCAAATCACCCCCAAAACTGCCCTAAAAATTACTAAAAAAAATCCCCCAAACCATCCCAAAAAAATCCCCCAAAATATCCAAAAATACCCCCCAAAATTACTAAAAAAATGCCCTAAAGTATCCCCAAAATTACCCCCAAAAATATCCCCAAAATCCCCAAAATCTCCCCAAAATCCCCCAAATCTCCTCAAAAATTCCCAAAAATATCCCCAAAAATCCCCAAAAATATCCCCAAAATCCCCAAAATATCCCAAAAATCCCCAAAAATATCCCCAAAAATCCCCAAAAATATCCCCAAAATCCCCAAAAATATCCCAAAAATCCCCAAAAATATCCCAAAAATCCCCAAAATCTCCCCAAAATCCCCCAAATCTCCCCAAAAATCCCCAAAAATATCCCCAAAATCCCCCAAATCTCCCCAAATGCCCCAAATCTGCCCCGATGCCCCAAATCTGCCCCGATGCCCCGATTCCCGTTTTTCCCGATTCTTTGTTTTTTCCCCGTTTCCAGCGCTGGCCCCCCCGGCCGAGGAGCCCCCGGGCTCGATGGGGGCGCGGCTGCGCCGGACCCAGGTGGGGGTTGGGGCAAATTTGGGGGAAATTTGGGGGTTTGGGGCAAATTTGGGGGAAATTTGGGATTTTGGGGATTTGGGGGAAATTTGGGGTTTGGGGGTTTGGGGGAAATTTGGGGGTTTGGGGGTTTGGGGGAAATTTGGGGGTTTGGGGATTTGGGGGAAATTTGGGGGTTTGGGGATTTGGGGGAAATTTGGGGGTTTGGGGTTTGGGGGAAATTTGGGGGTTTGGGGGTTTGGGGGCAATTTGGGGTTTGGGGCGTTTGGGGGAAATTTGGGGGTTTGGGGGTTTGGGGGCAATTTGGGGTTTGGGGGAAATTTGGGGGAAATTTGGGGGTTTGGGGATTTGGGGGAAATTTGGGATTTTGGGGCGTTTGGGGGCAATTTGGGGTTTGGGGGTTTGGGGGAAATTTGGGATTTTGGGGATTTGGGGGCAATTTGGGATTTTGGGGATTTGGGGGCAATTTGGGGTTTGGGGATTTGGGGGAAATTTGGGGGTTTGGGGGAAATTTGGGGTTTTGGGGATTTGGGGTGATTTGTGGTTTTGGGGGGCTTTGGGGTGATTTGTGGTTTTGGGTGGTTTTGGGGTGATTTGTGGTTTTGGGTGGCTTTGGGGTGATTTGGGGTTTTGGGTGGCTTTGGGGTGATTTGGGGTTTGGGGATTTGGGGTGATTTGTGGTTTTGGGTGGTTTTGGGGTGATTTGTGGTTTTGGGTGGCTTTGGGGTGATTTGGGGTTTTGGGTGGCTTTGGGGTGATTTGGGGTTTGGGGATTTGGGGTGATTTGGGGTTTTGGGTGGCTTTGGGGTGATTTGGGGTTTGGGGATTTGGGGTGATTTGGGGTTTTGGGTGGCTTTGGGGTGATTTGGGGTTTTGGGTGGCTTTGGGGTGATTTGGGGTTTTGGGTGGCTTTGGGGTGATTTGGGGTTTTGGGTGGCTTTGGGGTGATTTGGGGTTTGGGGATTTGGGGTGATTTGGGGTTTTGGGTGGCTTTGGGGTGATTTGGGGTTTTGGGTGGCTTTGGGGTGATTTGGGGTTTTGGGTGGTTTTGGGGTGATTTGGGGTTTTGGGTGGTTTTGGGGTGATTTGGGGTTTTGGGTGGCTTTGGGGTGATTTGCTCATTCCTGGCTGATTTGGGGGAGGATTTTCCTGGGCGTTTTTGGCATTTTCCGATTTTTGGGTGGAATTTTTTGGGGACTTTTGGGATTTTGGGGTCGCCCTGACGGATTTTGGGGGTTCCTGGGTGGGGTTTTGGGTGGATTTGTGTGGATTTCGGGTCGTTCTGGGTGGATTTTGGGTGGATTTTGGGTCGTTCTGGGTGGATTTTGGGTGGATTTTGGGTGGATTTTGGTGGATTTTGGGTGGATTTTGGGTGGATTTTGGGTCGTTCTGGGTGGATTTGTGTGGATTTTGGGTCGTTCTGGGTGGATTTTGGGTGGATTTTGGGTGGATTTTGGTGGATTTTGGGTGGATTTTGGTGGATTTTGGGTGGATTTTGGGTCGTTCTGGGTGGATTTTGGGTGGATTTTGGCCATTTCTGGGCGAATTTCCATGGGGATTTTTGGGTGGATTTTGTCCGTTTCTGGACAGATTTTTTTGGGGTTTTTTGGGGTTTGGGGGATTTTGGGGGTGCCCTGGATGATTTCAGGGCTCCCTGGGTGGGATTTTGGGTGGATTTGGGTGCAATTTGAGTGAATTTTGGCCATTTCTGGGCGGATTTCGCTCGGGATTTTTTTGGGTGGATTTTGGCCGTTTCTGGACGGATTTTTTTGGGGTTTTTTGGCGTTTCGGGGTTTTTGGGGTCGCCCTGACGGATTTTGGGGTGCCCCACCCCAGCACGGGCTCCTGGCCCAGCAGTTTTGGGGGCTCACGGGGTCCCTCCAGGCCGCCCAGGGCCGCTACCCGCCAGCGCAGCCTGCAGCGCATCCAGCGGCAGCTCCAGATCGGTGAGGAAACCCCAAATTTTGGGGTCCTAAAAAAATTTTTTTGGGGGTCCCAAAAAATTCTGGGGGGTCCCCAGAGCCTTGGGAGGGTCCCTGAAAAATTTGGGGGGTTCTGGAAAAATTTGGGGGAGTTTTGAGAATTTTTGGGGTTTTTGAAAGGTTTAGAGTGACGGAAAAAGGTTTGGGGGAGGTGGAAAATTTTGGGGGTTTCGGAAAATTTTGGGGTCCTAAAAATTTTTTTGGGGGGTCCCAAAAAATCCTGGGGGGTCCCCAGAGCCTTGGGAGGGTCCCTGAAAAATTTGGGGGGTTCTGAAAAAATTTGGGGCCAAAATTTGGGGGAATCCCTGAAAAACGCCGGGTTGGGGGTTGGGGGGGGGTCCCAAATTTTGGGATCATTTTCCCATTTTTGGGGTTCCCAGTCCCATTTTTGGGGTATTTTAACCCATTCTTGCCCAATT